CGGGGCGGAGCGCACGTGGTTCCGCATCTGTTGGAGGAGCACGTCCCAGCTCGGGAAAGTGTGCACAGCAGCACGCGTGATGGTGGCGACGGCCAGGTGCCCCCACCGCGTGCAGCGCGGGCCGCCCCACTGCGCGATCTGCGTCCAGAAGTCGAGAGCGAAGGTGCCGAGCGGGATGCGGAACACCTGTGCGAGCGTCGCCAGCTCAGGTTGTAGCACTGCTGTCGGCGGCCAGCAAAATTGGGCCACGTAGGATATGGTCGTAACGGCACGTGTATTGTATAGTGTAGCGGAAAGGCTGGCGGGAGTGGTTCCCCGTCCTATGGCTTGGGCCCTCAGACGCAATTTGGCGACGGGATCGATCCAGCAAGTAGACGGAACGACAGCGGGACCTAGCCAGAGGCCCAGGTAGAGCAACTTCGGAGCCACCTAGGAGGAGGAGGAGAGGAGGAGGGGAGGAGGAGGAGGAGGAGGAGGGAGGAGAGGAGGAGAGGGAGGAGGAGGAGGGGAGGGGGAGGAGGAGGAGGAGGAGGAGAGGAGGAGGGAGGAGGAGGAGGAGGAGGATTTTTTTTTCAAGGGTCAACCCATGATCAGCCACATGACTCCGCTGGCGTGGCGAGTGCCAGCGAGAAAAACGGCCGCGCCACGGTCGGGGCCGTGCCCCCGTGGCGCGACCGAAGCGCGACCAGGGAGCGCAGGAGACCGTGCTCCGCGCTCCCTGGTCGGGGTAGGGGGCGCAGGAGCACGTGCTCCGCGCCAACCCTACCCACCACCCACTCCATGGGTGGCCGCTTTTCGGACCCCGGGACCCCGACACGACGCGACACGACACGACAGGGGGACGAAACGAACGACGCGACACGAACGACACGACACGAACGAGCGACACGACAGGGACGGGCCGCCGACCCCTCCCCAGGGCGGCAAGTGCTGGGGGGGAACCCAGCACCGCCCTGGGGAAGCACACGGGGCCTGGCGACCCCCCCGGGGGAAGGAAACCGCGCTTTGGCGGCGTCCCCCGGGGCGCGGGGGCTTTTCACCCCTCGGGCCCGGCGCTCCCCGCCTGCGCCAGGGGGACCCTAGGGTCCCGACCCCTCCCCTACGGGAGGGGCCCCCTCGGGGCAGGAGGAGGAGGAGGAGGAGGAGGGGGAGCAGGAGGGGGAGGAGGAGGAGATGGAGGAGGAGGAGGAGGAGGAGGCGCCTTGGTGGTGGGGGGCCTGATCACATCGAGCGAGACATCCTTTTGGGGGCAGCTGCTGACCTCGCCCTTGGGCTCTGGTCCTCGGCCTGGGCAGGCGGCACCAGCGTCTCGCCCAGCTGGCGCTCGGGACAAACAGTTACGGACTCGCGCGTCGGCGCTGGAGGCCACTCGCAGCAGTGCGACGCTCCTCCTGAGCTCGTGATGTTTTTGTTTCCGGCAACGCTGGCATGCATCCCGAGGCAAGAAGAAGCCATGCCCAGGAGGTCGGAGCAGCGCGGCACGATGCCGGACAGTGCAGAGGAGAGCAAGCCGACGCACCGCAGTGCAATGCGGAGCAGGTAAGGGCGCTGGTGACGACGACAAAAACAACTATGTCGTCGTGTCCACCAGCGATAACGACGTCGACGACAATAACGACAACGATAATGCCGCCGAAACATTCGTCGTCGTCGTTCCCGTCGTCAGCGTCAACATCGCCGTCGCCGCCGCCGCCGACGCCGTCTTCGTCGTTGTCGTCGTTGTCGTCGTCGCCGACGTCGTCACGAGCGTCATCGTTGTCCTCGGCTTGGCCGTTGTGGAGCAGCGCGAGGCCGAGCGCGCCCGGGCACTGGGCGTGCGCAGAACGAAACGGGGAACTGGGCTGGGGCGGGCGAGCAGCCCCCACGAGACCCTCCGGACGCCCACGCGCCCTCCCCCCGCCCTTGGAGGCGGTGAGGAGCCGATCGCGCCCCGCGGAGCGGCCACCGCGGCCCCTCTGCACCGAGGGAGCCAAGAGCCCGTCGGGCACCGCTTACGAGGGGAGGCCTGGAGGTTGACACCAACACCAAGATTGGCGGCGTGCCTCCACCCAAAGAAGGTGCTCCCGACCTCGGCGATGGTAGTAATACTCTGGCGCCCAGGCGGCCTACGTCGCATTACCACCAGCGCCGACTTGTAGGATCATCTTCCTCGGGTTTGGGCATGCCCGTGGGTAGGCGTTGGTGCCCATAATTATCCAAGCCTCCAATACGACAGGCTCGAGCCGCGACGACTTCGGCGTCGGCTTCTGACACTTCGGGTGTCGCCCGAGGCTGAGCGTCCTCCTCTCGTGCAGCTCGGCCATACGTTGCCACTGAGTCTTCTTGTAGCGGTGCGCTTGTATTTCGTGCTGGGAAGCATCATGTTGTTATGCTGTGCCCATCTCATCTTGTTGCAGTGTGAGCTGAACCTGTCCTTCATTTTGTAGAGCATCGTGGTCCACGTGCTGCTCATAGTTGCGCATGTCGGTACTGACCGTTTGAAGGCATCCTGTTTTCTGTT